GATTCATGTTTTCAACAACTCAAATATCTAGAGACTACTCCCATGGAGTAAGTTCCTAAAAGAAAACAAAACAAAACAAAAAAAAATTACAGCTCTTAAATACCTGTAACTAAAACCACATATTGGGAGTTTTAAAATAAAAAGGCACAAAAATTTGAGTGATCTTGTATTGGGGTGTACATTATGTTACCCACAAGACACTCAGGGAGTTACAAAAAAAAAAAGCACACAACACCCTCTCCTTTAAGGACTTTTACACAGAAAAGCATATATTATCACTACACTCTGAGAGAAGGTTCTAGGACAGCCCAGCAAGGAGAGGCCAGTCTTGGACTCCCCCAGGGGAGGCTGGCAGAAGTGCAGGAGATGAGGGCTCAGAGATCAGCCATCCGGCATCAGCTTCTTCCCAGTTATGAGCCTGGTCTTGGGATGAACCCAGCTCAATAAAACCCAACGCAGAGCAGAGAAACGTGAACAAAATGTGAAAAGGGTGAACAAAATTATATATGAATTTAATTATTCAAAAATTCTCAATATTGTCGCTATGTCACCATTTTAACTAAAAACCTAAGAAAATTTTTAGAAGACTAGTGTTTATGATTCCTGAACACCAACATTCCAAAGTTCACCTACGTGTACTTAAAAAACATTTCTCCTTGTAGATCCTCTCAATAGCCACATCCTAAACATTCACTCGACAGGCCTTTATTTCCAGCTAGGGCCTGAATTTCTACTTTTCCTAGCACATCTGCCCCAGAGCCCACCCTCCTGAGCAGCGCTTACCACCTCCTACCTTCTCACCTGCTCCAGCTGCCTCCTCTAACTGTGGTCTCCCCGGTGACCTGTGACCTCGGAACAGAGAGGCAAACATTCCGCCTCATCCTTTTAAAGAGACGGGGACCATTTAGACTTCAGAGTTCACCAACTAGCTCAATGACATCATCACGGTCACATAATCTCTTCAATAAAGTAAACCTACCCTTAAAATGATTGTTTTAAGAATTCAGAAACTATTTGGAAATACACTTTTATATTTCACAATACTGAACATTTATAAAAGTAAAGCAATTGATATGTTCTCAGGAATGAAAAACCATTTTAAAAAATTCAATTTATTTGTTAATCTGAAAAATAAACATGTTTCTGGATTTGATTTGAGTTCTGAATAAATCAGAAAAAAATGTAGTTATTTCAGTTAAGTACAATGAGATAAAGGGCATACTTAGAATAGCATAGATCATTTTAAATATG